GCCGCAGGTTTTTGTTTTTTTTTTGCTTGGGGCGGCCAGAAAGCCAGAGCCAGCCCTGGTTGGTTGGAGGTACTCTGCAGAGGCTCCACTGCGGGTACGGGGGCGGGAGGCAGGATCGGTGCCGAGATTTTTCCTGGCACAGGGGCAGAGCGCGCGGTCAGCACCGCGGCTATTTTTAGCCCAGAGGCGTGCGGTGCCGATGTCTTTGTCTGCACCGGGGCAGAACATGCAGCAGGCACCGCGGTAATTTTAGGCGCTGAGGCGCTCAGTGCCGCGGAATCTTTCCCTGTCCGGGAGGTTGAATTTCTGCCTCTACAGTCTGTGGGAGCCTGGTTGAGGCGTGAGCCGGGGCTGAGGTGCCTGCCTTTGGCGCTATCAGCACAGAGGGTAGGGATCTCGCATATTAGCCAGCCTGGGAAGGGATGGTGTCCCTAGCCTCTGTTTGCCAGAAGCTAGGAATGGGTGACAGAGAACGGATCACTTGACAATTACCTGTTCTATTCGTACCTTCTGGGGCACCTGGCATTGGCCACTGTTGGAAGACAGGATACTGGTGAATATGGATCTTTAATCTGACCCAGTATGGCTGTTCTTATGGGGCTTGAAGTCTTGACAGACCTGGCAGTAGTCAGTTATATGAGTCTCTCCCAGGAACTTCAGACAACGAGTGGGGTCACTCACAGGCATGGGCTTGCTGCAGGAGGTACAGGGTTTGAAACCCGAGAACCAATGCATGTCCCAGTACTGGGTGCGAACAAAACTCCGCTAACAGGGCAAGAAGTGCCACCTAACTATATATCATTAATCTACAACAGTCCAAGCTGAGAAAATAAAGAACTGGGATAGCAAAAACAGTGAAAAGGACTAAACCAGTGAGTAAGAGTTTGCCAAAACAAGAGGGTTCCAGTTACTGTCACTGGCATTAAAAAGGAACTGAGAGGATGCGGAGACTGCCGGGTCCCTTATATCGGCACATGAGCATGCAGCACTAGTGGGTGCTAGAGCCGGCCCAATGGATACCACTGAGGGGAAAATCTCTGACAACTGTGCAGGTGGCATGCATACACCTAACCTGGAATGGATATGAGCAAGCTGAAGAAGAAGTAGTTTTATGATGTGAAGCTTAAGGAGCTTAACTTATTCAGCTTATTGACATTTGAGCGATGACTTGATTATTGTGTATAGCTTTTACACACTGTGACACACTGTACCTCAACATGGCACCCTGTAACCCCCATATTCATCATCCATATATGGTTGTGATCTTTCACACAAAGCATACCATGTAAGGTATCATACGAAAGGTCATGACCTGCTGAAACTTCCTGTTCTGTCCAAATAGATATATCATTAGTGCGTATAAAGTTATAAGATTTTGCTGTGTGTCACTGAAATATACAAAGTACCTCCACCCAGGAGGGTGCTCCATGACCTTTAATCAGCAGGGGAGCTGTACTCAAGGGATTTACAATTCCGTGAGAGTTTCCCAAATCCACACAATGGAAGCTTACTGGATCACTGTGACTCAACAAAGCCCACTAGGCATGTGATCACTGTGACTCAACAAAGCTTGCCGGGACATGTCTGTGCAAGTGTCTTCCAGGCACATGGATTGAGAGTATAAAATACGGAACAATTGCAGCATGTCTTGGCCTTTCTCCTCCCCCACCTATGCTGGAAGGAACAAGCACACTGAGAAGATGAAAACCTCAACAGAGGAGACTGGTCCAGGCTTCATGGGGAAGCCTGTGTACTAAGGACTGTAACATTCAGTGCGGTGAGAAAATTGCTAATCTAAATACTACCTAGTGTAATGAGGTCTCAGATTTAGACTGTGCATTTATCTTGTTTTCCTTAGTAACTATCTCTGACTTTTTTATGCCTATCACTTATAATCACTTACAATCTATCTTTCCATAGTCAATACATCTGTTTTATATTTTAACTAAAACAGTGTATTTTGCTTGAAGTGCTTGGGAAACCTCAGCTCAGGTACAAAAGCTGGTGCATGTCCTCTCCACATTGAGGGAGGGGTGGACTGGGTAATAAACTTACACTTGTCAGGCTTTTGACCAGGGTAGGACAGTATAGCTCTGGGGTGCAAGGCTCGGGAGCTGGAGGGAATTTCCTGGAACCTCTCTATTGTTAGTTCATGAGTGGCAGGGAGAAGTATTCATAAAACTCAGCTGGGTATGTCCTTGCCTTTGGATGCCTGTGTAAGTGCAGTACTTGGCAGAGGTTTGCAGTTTGTCACACATCACAGTGAGAGGAAGCCGAGTCTGGTGGGACAGAGGACTCAGGGGTACCCCAGTTCCAGGTTGCACCCTGGGGATCCTCTCTCATACATGGACCAGATATCTGATAAAGGGTTTTTTTCAGTCTTGCTGACAAAGTCATAACAAGATCCAATGGCTGAAAGTTGAAGTTAGACAAATTCAACCTTGAAATAAGATGCAATTTCCTAGCAGAAAGGGTAATTAAACATTGGAACAGTTTATCGGCACTTGGAGTCTTTAAAATCAGATTAGATATCTCTCTAAAAGATATACTTTAATCAAGATTCTGGGAGAGATTCTACAGCCTTTCTATATGGGTTGTTGGCTGGATGGTCAAAGTGCTCCGTTCTGACTCTGAAATCTGTGAATCTATGAAACCCTTGTTCATTATCTCTCTTCCTGAGCCATGGAGAGAACAGAAAGATCTGCATTGCCCTCAATGTGCTCATAACATTTGCAGTTCTGCAACAGGACAAGGAATATAATTAAATTGAATGCTTCAGGGTTTCAGTTGGTTGTTTGCATGGGTCAGGAAGGATTTCCTCCTGCTCCTGAAATGCACAATTGACCAGATGTGCTCTGGGTTTTTCCCATCTTCCTCTGAAGCACCAGAGTGTATTCAATTACCCAGAGCTGGAGTTGAGACACTGGATGGGTGGACCAGGACTTTGAGGAGGTGCAGGGAATCCTCTTTCTTAGATGACTGGCTGGTATGCCCTGTTCATATTCTCAGGGTCCAACTGAGCACCAGATTTTCAGGAAGGAATTTCCCCCCCATATATGCTTGGCAGGGACTTTGGATTTTTTCCTCCTTCTTCTGCAGCATGGGATGAGTATCACATGCTGGGATCATCTAGGTAAAACTCACCTAGTCAATTCCTTACCATTGCATGAGCCCTGGTAGCACCTTGGTCTCTCCTGTTCTCTGCCTGAGGCACATAACAGTTTAGTCACCTAAGGACTGAAAGACTTTGGTCTAACTAAAGTCATTGGGCTTTATCTTGGGATAACTGGGTGAAATGTAATGCCTTGTGATATACAGGAAGTCAGTCTAGATGATCTAATACTTCTAGGCTTAAATACTATGAAACAATCAATTATTAGCATAATCTTACTGATGAAAACATTTACATTATTTAAGATATCAATTTTTGAAGTGTACATACTATGGACTATATTTCACATACTTTGACAACAGCTACTGAGGGAATTCTAGTGCACAGATTGTCTCCATATGAAAATCCAAGACCCCCTGGATATCTTCCACCCCTATAATACAAAATACAGTAAATGATACAAAATGTTCAATTGATATTAAACTGTTCTCTATAGTTGTAAATAAATCCAGTCTAAGTAAAAGAGTGATAGATCAGATCTGTATTTAGAACTATAAGAAAACAATTTGTTCTTACTTGTAAATACTTCTTCTCATAACATAAATGTGCACCAATCCAGAGTTACTTACTAGCTAAAGTCTGCCCCATCAAAACCAACTGCAAACATCTTTGCTGAAGTGACTTTTGCTGAGAGCAGTGATCATGTTAAAAGATAAGTCACTTATGTTATGTGAGGACAAATACACATGTAAGAATTCAGTTGTCCCATTCTTACATACCTAGGGCCAGATCCTCAGCTGATTTAAATTGGCTTTCATGTAACTGTACAAATTATCATCTGATCTTCTGTCCCAAATTATTTTCCCCACTGGTTAGCTGGGTTACAGTAGTACAGCAAAAGGGGTAATGAAAATATTTACATAAACATGGCAGCTTAGACAGGCCCATCACCACCCAATGAGGTGAAGTCTACTTTGCAGTGTTTGGTAAAAGTATACAGATACACCCAGCTTGTGACCTTTTATACGCAATAACAAAATATCTATTTGATTCCAGCTGCTGATTTCATTTTGATATAGGATATCTGACAGGTGATTTAATTCTAGAAATTGCCTTCAAGAATTCTGGTACCTGAGCTTAAAATGATAGGGCTGTTGGTGGGCTCCGAGTAAGCCTACTATGACTGCCTGCACTTTCACGTTCCAATTTAGCACAGTACTTAAGCCCATGTATATCCCAATGACTTCAGTGGGATTTAGCCACATGCTTAAAGGTTAGGCATGTGCTTAAGTGCTTTCTTGAATATGGGTCTCGGAGAGCTAGAAGGGGGTTGTGAAAGAATAAAACAATTGAGGGAATGAAATCCAAAGTTTCACCAGCTTAAATTGTTTTCTGTGTCTCCAAACACAGATTCCTAACTCCGGGATCTCGATACCCAAACCTTCTCTGTTAACAAACAGCACCTTGACAGATCAAAAATATGAAATCTTTTGGTACCCTCTCCTAGGTTCTCCCCCATGCTGCAGCTCCAAATCTGAATCTATAACTATTAACACTTGTAAAATTCCTTTCAGGTGGTTGGTTAACTAGACAACAAAACTAACTAGAAAATGTCAAAAATATGTAACCTCCATTTTCTGACCTGTAACTGGAAGTTCTTTAAAATGTGTGGTCTTTATCAGTATTCCACACATGGATATTGCATGCATACCCTATGCCTGAGTCTGGAAATTCTAATAAGCAATGTCCATCAGCCCACACGTGCACAGAACATCTCCTCATGCTCCCGACCAAAGGCATAAGAAGCAGCGTAGGCTGATGCCTTTCCAGTTCCTGTTCTTACTGCAAACCCAATAGAATTTAGAGCAGAGAGTACAGAGGGCAGGAAGTGGATTAAAGATACGGACCACACATCTCGAAGAACCTCCAGTTACAGATGAGTAACATTTCTTCTTCGAGTGCTGGTCCCTAAGTGTATTCTACAAGAGTGGTTGACAAGCAATGCTGACTGGAGTGTGAGGAAGCCAGCAGCAAAGATGCTTGCAGTACTTCAGTTTCCACTGCCCCTCTGCAGCAGAAGCCTCACTCAGCACCTCATATCTAGCAAGCGTGTGGATGGAGCTCCAGCTGGCCACCATGCATATGTCTAGTATTGGAATTTCCTGCAGAGATGCTGTAGAGGCAGCTTGTGCACTTGTGAAGCATGCCCTGACTCTGTACTAACCAGGGCATATCTGACATTGAGGGAAAGAAGTCTTTTCATATTGGCAGAAGCATGGGGTTTCAGAAAAAAAAGATAGGTACAAGGATGCTTTGGTTGACATGGAATTCAGAAATAATCATAGGAAGGAACTTAGAATAGGGGCAATAGGGTACCTTTTCCCTGTGAAAACCCATATAAGGGGGGGGTCTGCCATGAGTTCTCTCAACTCACTCACTCTCCTGGCCGAAGTGATAACAACTGAAAATGCAGCTTTTCAGGACAGGTAGGACATGGAAGGCTTCACCAAGGGTTGAAATGGAGATCTGGTGAGGGTTCACAGGACGAGATTGAGGTCCCATTGAGGTGTAGATTTGACCACTGAAGAAAAGGTACTTGGGTGAATGAAAACAGAATGCCTGTCTACTGGAGGAAGGAAGGCACTAATTGCTGTGAGATGGACATACAGTGAGCTAATGAAAAGGCCTACTTTTTTTAGAGACCAGATACAATCCAAAATGACCAGAATACCTGCAGTACCTGTAGATGGATGATTATGCTACACCCAGACAGAGAAACATCTCCATTTAGCTAGTTAGCAGGTCCTAGTTGAATCTTCCCTACTTTGGGTATGGACAGCCTGAACAGCTGCAGAAGAGGAGCATTCTATTTCCAATGCCCGTCCGAACACCAGGCCGTGAGACGGAGTGAGTCTCGATTAAAGTGTCTGATTCTATCCCCCTCCTGAGTTAGGAGGTCTGGAAAGGGGTGGATCATGATTCAGGGACAGAATGATATTTTTAGGAGCTCTAGGAATCAAAACTGTCTAGGTCAAATGGGTGTTAGGAGAATGACTCTAGCCCTGTCATGATGGATCTTTCTCAGAACCTGTTTTAGCAGAGGAATGGAAAGAAAGGCATATCTGAGATTGTTTCTCCATCACAATAGCAGAGTGCTGCCCTAGGAGCTGTGGCCCATAGTTCCTCTGGAGAAAAACAGGGAAGTATTCTGTTAGTTTGGGACACAAAGATATCAAATTGAGGTGCACCTCACAGAGTGAATAGTTTGCTCAGGGCAGAGTTGTGAGTCTCTCACTCATGGTCTGCAGAGAAGTGCCTGCTCAGGTTTTCCGCTGGGAGGTATGCAATTTGTATGGTGATGCAGATTCTGAAGCACCAGTTTCAAACTCTGACTGCTTCCAGGTAAACAGAAAGAGATTTTGTTCTGTGCTGTTTGTTTATGTAAAAGGCCATGGTGATAATCATAGAATCATAGAATATTAGGGTTGGAAGAGACCTCAGGACGTCATTTAGTCCAATCCCCTGCTCAAAGCAGGACCAACACCAACTAAATATTGCCCAACACCACTTAGATATGGATTGAATGTATAAGTGGGAGAAAGGCTGTGCAAGCCAGGCAGACTGCTCTCAGGTCTCTCATGGAGTTCAGGTACCTTGAGCAGTGTGGCCTTTCAGGTGGGCACCCCGACCCCGAAGAGAAATGTCTGTTCTAATGGTGGCAGTAGGGATGAAAGTGTTGAAGGGAATGCTCATTCTCACTCTCTTTGGGTCTGACCACCAGATGGGGGAGGTGATGACTTTGGTGGGAACACTCACTCTGGAGTTGATGAAATCTCTATCTGGTGAGTACTCTCACCAGAGCCAGGCCTGCAGACATTGTGGATGAAGGTATTCACACAGCATTACATAAGTGCACAAGGTCATATAGTCTAATACCGAGAGGCACATTCTCCCCATAGTTCTTGGTCTGCAAGTAATCCAAGTGATCAGGCTGCTCATTAACTAAAATCTTTTTGTGGGAAGGAACACTTTCAATGAAACAGAGTCTGATGACATTTATTGTCTCTATAGATGATAAACCAACTTTTCTCTGTTTATGCAGATGCCAAGAGCTGCTAGAATATGGAGCAGAAACTGCATCACTGAACTGACCTGTAGGCAATAGCAACCTTTCAAAAGCCAACTGTCTGTTGTGATCAATTCCCAATTGTGGGTGAAGAGTGCAATATGGCCCCCCAAAATAATAGGGGAAGAGGTGAGTGATGGTGGGAGTGGGTCTCAATCAATATGTCAAAAGTAGCCCTTTGCAGGTGGTTGGGATTGGGTAGAGGTTATGGGGGTAGAGGGGGCTTTGAAGCAAGGCCTCTGAACACTCTGATGTTTTCTCAGAGGCTCAACTGGATGCTGATGGTAGAATGCTTGAGAAGGGGGTGGCCTTGCCCTGTAGGCTTGTCTCTGCTGTTTTTTCCTTGCAGCTAGAGTGTAAATCTCCAGGGAGTGAAAAGTCGATCTTGAATTCTTTAACAAGTATAGGAACTCATCCATTTTCTCAATGAAGAGATTTAACTCATCATAGGGCAGGTTCTGTATGGTATTCTGGATATCCCTGAGAAAACACAAAGACTGTAGTTAAGAATTCCTCCCTGTGACTGTGCCAGTGGCCAGGTTTCTGGATGCCATATTTGCTGCATTCACTGCAGCATGAAAGAGACAATCTTCTTTCCCTCCTTGCCCTTTGATCCTATATGAAGGACCAAAATTGGACTCTGTCCTCGGAGTGGTCCTTAAAGTCCACCAGCCTGGAACAGCTGTTAAAATAATATTTTGATAACAAGGCTTGATTGTTAGTAATATGGAATTCCAGGCCCATAAAGGAAAAGACCTTTTTCTCCATGTAATCCAACCTCTTTGAGTCTTTGTTAGTCTTGGTGGTAGTTCTTTGGTATTGGGACCTATCCCTCTCCATACATGCCTCTACCACCAGAGACTTGAGTGTTGGGTGGGAGAAAAGAAATTCAGCTCCCTTGGTGGGGACGAAAGAGCACCTCTCGACTCAGATTACAAAATATCCAGGAATTGTTTTTGTGTGTCTTGGACCTCCTCCAGCAGTATCTGGAGGTCATTGGCAATCCTCTGCAGTAGCTCCTGGTATTGCCTATCAATTCTCTAGCGGACATGAAGAGGAAGGAGTGACTGCTTCATCTGGAGACAAAGATGAGATTCATATTGGTACTCCCAGTACTTGTGCATATGGGTCAATATGTTCCTCCTCATAATATGCTCCTCCTCCTCACACTTCAACAGATCCGATGGGAGCTGAGAAGGAGAAGTGTGGTAAGATTCCTTCACGGGTCCCAGGCATCTGTCATAGAAATCCCACAGGCCCCAAAAAGGCCAGAAAGAGGATTCCACTAATTGTGAGGGACCCAATGT